ACACACGGGGGCTGATCACGCCGGAGTACCGGAGGCTCAGGGAGGGTTCTTGTAATCCCAGCTCGTAAGCCCGGCGGGACCCACGACGACCACCACCAAGGCCGTCCCCCCTAGACTCGTTCAGGCTCCACGATTAATCACCAGGGCCCCAACGCCGGCCGAGAAACACGTGAGTGCAATAAAGACGGACGCCCAATTAAACGTCGCGCTTATCTCCAATGTTGATTTATTTGCCCTCCTTAGCGACAGGCAAAGGTTAAGTGAGCATATGTATGCAAGGGAAGGGAGGGAGGATATCGGATTTGTCGTACCAGCTGCCTCGTTGTTATGGGCCCTACTGTTGGAGTACACGTACTCGACGCTGCTGGTCGGTTGTGTAGGTAGGTACCCTGATAGGGCCCCTCGCCCATTACAAAAACAAAACAAGAAACACTCAAGTGTATGTGGCGCAAGCTGTCAATCGATACGTGATGAAGTATGTGACATATTGGCCCAGTGCAACCCAACGGCCAACACCCCGGCAAACTGAATCTGAAGGAACTTTTTATGTTGCATAGACAAATTTGACGTGCACATCTTGACCAGATGCAATTACACATCTCGCAAGTGACGGATTTAGTTTTACTCATCGTGGGAAAAAATCACATTTTGGCTCCAAAGGGATCCAAAATTGTTGTTTTCAAGATTCTGAATTGCATTTTGTTAAGATGTACACGCACTTAAATGCACCCATTTAAAGACAAATTGGTCCTTTAAAAAGTCCTGCACAATTTCAAATTTCGGTACAGGGAACTGACGAATCCCTACATTAAGGATTTTTTTACACCGTTGAATGTGTATGTTTACTACATTCACATAGCTTACGTACTTGGTTTGGTAAGAGGAAACGTGAAAGCCATTATTCGAAATGTTATTCATTGTTCGTGTTGTCTGCATAGCCTTACGCGACCCGCAGTTACGCCAGGCACGCAGTTTACATCTGACCATCCTCCTCCTTTTCCGCGCCTGTTTACTCTTTACCTCATTTCCGCATTTTCCTGTTTTTTATCTGAATGGTACAGGCCTGAAATGGATTCCGTCCGTTGATATATATATATATTCTACTGTGCCGTTGCCTCGATAACGCTTCGACACAGGTTCCACAAAAACAAAATAAGTACAGTACTCGTACCGCTGCCAACTCTGTCAACTCAAATGTGTACATTGTCTACTTTAAATAAAGTGTACATGGCACATAGCACAGAGCGAGCCCTTGAGTTTGTGGCTGGCGTGTTTGGACACCGCTGCTGCCCCTTCGCGCACACGGCGGCCCGCAGGGAAGAGAAAGGGGGATGGCGCATAGAGCTCGCGGCGAAGCAGCGGCAGTGTGCCGCCACTTCGCCACGCCACCGGCCACCGCTGCGCTCAAGACTGCGCGCGGATTGGCTTTTGTGGCCTGATCGAGGGGAACGTCTATTTCTTAGCCCTGTGAGCAATTTTTAAATAGACATTTTTTTCTTGGCAAATATCTCATAAATTGGTTATCATCGTAGACGATTCCATTGTCATTAAGAAAAAATCGAAATATTATTATTATGTTATATTCTCACTTGCACGGATATTTTGTAAGAGCCACAGACCGGTTTTCTATCACAAAATAAGAAACAAAATAACAGAAACTGTTACAGTTAATGCATCACATTAAATGTCGCTAACTCGGCACTCACCGTTCTGTTGCCCAGGTTCTTGACTCTACAGTTGAGGTATGCCGTCTTGCCCACGATTCCTGTTAGGTTCGTGGGCACTGATGTGTCGAAGAACGGTCCCGTGCCCGGGGTGGGCAGGTCCTGCAGGAAGTCGGTGCGGAATTTGCGCGTGCCCCGGGCGCCTGGAACAGAGGACGAACCCTAATTAGAGGAAGGACAAAAGCGAAACGGCTGCAGCTCCACTATCTCGGAGTTCTCAAACCCTTCAACTCTGAACACATCCATGTTGCTGAGCTTTCAGCGTAAAATACAAGTTGTGGTCTTTTAAGTTAAAATACACCGCGATAGCGCGATCTGTTTTTAAAAGAAAAACTACATAGACAAAGTAACTGAACAGGGTAGTTTCCGACACTTAAGTGGAAATCACACAAGAATAGCGCAGCATCACACAATTGCGTGTATTTTTAAATATAATTCCTTGTATTGTTACTATGACACGTATTAACCTTCGAAAGTTAAAAAAGGAAAGAACTACGTACTTGA